GCTTTTTTTTTTAAAGATAAATATAATGTATTAAACTATACATTATTTATATTACTTCATACTACCTACACGTCTAATACATTTTTATATAAATGAACAATGAAAGTGCAGATATGGATGTTTCTTAATGTTTTACTTTATTTGAATCTACCAAGCTTTGCAATGTTTGTAATGTTTATATTTTAAATCTAAATTTCAATTATCAGAAATGACAAAAGATTGTCAAGATTTAATTAATGTCCATTTTAATGTTATTGATTAATGCACTGACTTGACATATTTTATTCATTCATTTTACTTCTGTGACGTCCCTGGTTTATCAGGGGTTAACCTCAGCGGTATAAACTGCCACTTACTTAACAGGTTTATGTATTTTTAATTTTAGGGGGTTTGTGTAATGTTTTATGCTTGGTAAAATAATTTCTAATTGCATTTTTTGTGATTTTTCAACTAAATACAATGTCTTGTCCCAATAGGTGGGTTAAGAGGTTTTTGCAACAAAAAAAAGCATGAGTGGATTTAGCTGGTTTTGACGGAAAAGATAATCTGAACTCTTCATATGCACAAAATGTAATGACAAGCTTAAATCAATACAACAGAATAAAGAAATAAATGAAATAGAGAGTGCTTTATGTGTTTCTGGAGAGTCTAACAAAATTGAGGTACATAAATAAAATTATCAAATGTAAAATAAAAGTATATACAGTAGACAATAGAGAAGTGAACCTACATTGGTCTCATGGTTCGATTGATTTGGTTCAATTCGATATCTCAGTGCATCATGGTGCATTGACAATGTTTTCCATACACAATTTTATATTTTACTTTACAGCACAACAATTCTTATATTAAAAAGTATATATATATATATATATATATATATATATATATATATATATATATATATATATATATATATATATAAACTTATAAATAAATAACTGTCACTTTAAGCTGTATAGAAGTGTCTTGAAAAATACCAATAAAATATTATTTACTGTTATCATGGCAAAGATAAAATAAATCAGTGATTAGAAATGAGTAATTAAAACTATTATGTTTAAAAATCTGTTGGAAAAAATCTGCTCTCTGTTGAACAGAAATTAGGGGAAAAATAAACAGGGGGGCTAATAATTCTGACTTTAACTGTATATATTATTTGTAATGCAATTTTGTTCTTTAATACAAGCAGTCAGATATATGAACTGCATCTTTAAATTTTAAGTAAATGCACAGAACAACATGAACATTTATAGCAAATACACTTATGTAAATATTATCCTGTCCGCTTTCTTTGCCGAGTGAGTTCTTACACCCTTATTGCTCAGGCGCTCAACAAAAATTGTTGCAATTGGCTCTGGCGCTGTTTACTGATGAGTGACGTTAACAAATGGCAGCGGCGATCAAAAGACTGTCCAGCAAACCCACACGCAATGAATTGTGCAGAGTTTCTGCGTTTTTAAGTAGGTGGGAACGTTTTAATTACTTATGCTCGCCTCCCTTGACATAGTAACATACCGCAATGTATCGCATGTGTGATAAATGACGTCAGTATGTAATAACCGTTTATGATCTATTACTTGCCTGATATTGAACTGTCTGCGTCTGCATTGCGGTGCACCGAAGAAACAATTAATTTTGACACCCCTAGTAGTCAGCATTTGAAGTGGATCAAAAAGATTTATCAAAGTTGACCTAAAACTATTGAACAACTACCATTCTTTTTTTGATAAAATTTTTTGATCCACTTTAAATGTTGACTACTGTACCTACATTGTATAAATAATTACAATTAACATCATGCTATTAAACCCAAACGGTTTAAATTTGCTTTTAATTTTACATAGTCACAGAACTTAAAAAATAGGGTTATACTTTGCATGCATTTTGCATTCTAGTTAACTATAATGCCAACTCGACATTGCCGATCCTGTAATGTCACTACTGCAGAATTGCACATTGCTATATCGATGCTGAAATTATATGTTGTGCAGCTCTACTCACCATGACAAAAACGATTATGTAAAGCACAAAGATTTGCACATCAATAATTACTAACGTAGCATCAGACTTAAACAAAACATGCTAATAGTACTAAGGCAATGTTTTGAATCTCTTACACAGTTACTGGTTGTATTCTCTACATTGTAAAAAAATATCTGTTAATTTACATGTGCATGTGATTTATGGGTGCTTTCTATTTGCATTATAAGACCTTGATCTCTGCTCAGACTACTTTTTATGTTGAAAACTTTACTCTTATATTGAATAAGATTTGCTTTTAATGACATTTTTAGTAGTTTGAAACAAGATAGGAAATAATGCTTATAAAAATACACCCATAAAATATAATCCCTGACAAGTATCACGTCGCCTGACTGTCAAGATCAATCTTTTAGGCTATGCTATTTTCAGCATAAACAAACTTCATTAAACACTTGTGCTGCTCCTGGCATTATTAATTATAAGAAACTTTGGGCTTTGTTACATTTAAGTTAAAACTATTTAATTTGTCAACTGTCAGTTTCATGCCAGGAAATTAATTTAGGTGGATCACTAGTAATTATATTTGTTAACGCTTTATTTTAAGATTTCATTGTTGGCGTTTCATGTTATTATTACAGGTTATATGCAGGAATCCTAAAGGTAATTTTAATACCTTTGTAAGACTTTTTAAAGATCTTCTTAGAATATTTTAAGACCTCATCACCACTTCAAGTTCTAATCAGTATCAAACCTTTAACTTAATTAACAGTTGTTTATAAACAGTTGTAGTTAAATAAATCAATGGAGCACAACCATACAACAGAACTCAGAAGCGCTCGTAAGAAACAATGCATGGAAGAATATTACGTGGTTGTTTTCAGCGACACGTTTCCGCCACTGTTTAAACTCGACTTTCTCCAGCCAGAAGTACGCAAACTTGTATTTGCCTATTTTACCTTTGTCTGTTTCGCTCGATGGTTTCGCTACATTGTGGAGAGCATCACATCACCTTCCCACAAATAATTTTTTTTTTTTGCAAATTACGTGACATCAACTGGATGGAGAAGCTTGGCCAGACATACCATGGCCAGAACCAATCGTGTTGATCGAGCATGCCGTTGTTAATATTAGGAGAAAAATACAAATATTTAAGCTTTTTTGAAGTCAAACACTTTGGACAGCGCTTGAACAAAATTTAAGGCCTCGTAAAACACGCGACTAAGACTTTTTTATACCTTTTAATGGCCTTAATTTTCTCATAGTAATAACAGTTGATTATACCTATTTACACATAACTAAACCTAAATTGAATCTGCATGCTAACCTGAACCACAAGTACATGTAATGAAGTACCATTACTCAGAAGTTAAATAAAGTTGTGCATTAACATGGACACTTTATATAAAGTTTAACCTTAACCACTTTCAGTAATTGAACTACATTAACTTATAATATTATTATAATATTATATTATAAGAGCATATTAACTATCAGTGTACATTGCCAGTTCATGTTAACTCCGTTTTAATAAATAATATTAACAAGTCCAAATGAAATCAAAATGTACAATGTTCATTTTGCTAGCACACAAGTCTTAAGGGTAGTCTTAAGGGTTAGTCTTAAGGGTAACAATTAATCTGAAACCCCCTAAGAATGTAAAATAACCGCTGATAATATATTATTTAATGAGTACGAATCATGACCTTCTGAATATTATTATCAACTCGATTAATGCACCAAAAAAAAAAAGAAAAAAAAAAAAGAAAATGTAAAAAAACGCACAGTGCAAACTTCATTACTATCAATTAATCTGTGCAACAATAATTATAAGTTGATTCACTTCATAAAAGTTTTATCTGATAATATTAAATCAAAATCTGACCATTTGCTGCATCTCTGGATTGGCAGTCCTTCTCTGAAATTATGCTCAGGCTTGGCCTGAAATATGCTGAGCCATACAAATTAAAGTTCACAAGGACTGTAGCTAGTTAACATCGGAATTAATTTTAAATAAGATTAATTAATTCTTTATGAGTAAAAACTACAGGAACACACTTGGATTTGCTCCATCTATTAATAATAGCTAGTTTCTTGTTAATAATAACTCGACCTAATTATTATATTTTTAAGATATTTCAAAGCTTTGGAGGAGTTTTATTCATAGTGTGAATGGATACAATAAACCTAACCTTTAGTACAGAATAATTTCATGTTTTCAAGAAGTTTTATTTATTTATTTCTTTTTTTTTAGATTTCTATGGAGTCTCTTTTGGTCGTAAAATGCATGAAAGATTGTGTTTTTGTAAGTATCAATCCCTCATCATGATAAAAACAGTAATAAAAGCACAAAGATTTGCACATCAATAATTACTATCGTGGCGTCAGGCTTAAACAAAACATGCTCATGCCAGTTTGATGGCTTGTCCTGAATTATGCTGAGCTGTGCAAATTTCCAGTTAATGTGGGCTGTAGTTAACATTGAAATGAACTTTAAATAAGATTAATAAATGTTTTATAAGTAATCGATGTAGGAGGAACAATATTGGAGTTGCTCCATTTATTATTGTTAGTTTTTTTATTTTTTATTTTTGTTAATAATAGATTTAACTAATTATCCGTTTTTTTTTGCATCCAATGTTTATTTTTGTATTTTAATATTAGCTTTATTTCATTTTGTATTTGATTGTTTGTTTAGACTTTATTAATCCCAAAGGGAAATGCACGTCACAGCAGAGCTCTCCATACTATAAGATAAATAAAATAAATTACATACATAAAAAAACAATAATATTAATAAAATTACCTTCATGCCCACCTTAGTTTCGAACAATGTGTAGACACTAATCCATATCTGCAGTATTAATGCTAATACAATTCAGCATAATTCATCTAGTATGACTTTGGTTTTACAATCAGATCACTGTTAGTAAAAATGATTTTATTATGTATATAGCTAACAATAAACACCACTGTCCTGAACAGGAAGTGAATTTATTGATCCATGTCCACTGTACCTCCTGTGAAGACACTCCTCTGTAGCCGAAATCGTGCAGTTTGAGGTCCAGACTCTCCAGGTTCCCTGACGTGGCCTTCAGGTGCTTGGCCAGAATCTTTTTGAACTCCCTGGAGATTGTTGCCACGGTGATGGGATACCACATTTGGACCAGCATCGTCTGCGAGCACAGAGTGTACACACAAATCACACAGACGTCAGAGGAGACTAAAGATGGCTCACAATTGTCATGACCCCCCTTTCAAAACTAAAACCCATCAGGACTGTTTTATTTGTAAAGCTGGCACACTGATCTGTGCCTTCTCAGGTTCTACACCATTTGGGGTCTGTGATGTTGACAACAATATTGACCATATTGAGAATACTGATCGCATTGTTGATCAAATATAGAAGATATTGACCTCACTTTGGAGAGAAGCCTTTGCTAAATTACTAAATTTAAAATAATTGTGAGAAAAATCACATTTTCTTAAGAGGGAGGGGGTTTGGCGGGGTTCAAAAATTTACTCAATGACGTCTATATTACTTTGACTTAGACCAGGGATGTCAAACTCAATTCCTGGAAGGCTGCAGCCCTGCACAGTTTAGTTCCAACCCTAATTAAACACACCCGATCAAACTAATTGAGTCCCTCAGGCTTGTTTAAAACCTACAGGTAAGTGTGTTGGAGCAGAGTTGGAACTAAACTGTGCAGGGCTCCGTCCAAATACATCTAAAAACTCTCTGCATCCTACTCTATCATTTTCAATAGTTTCCAAAATAAATACATAAACTACTTTAAAATACTTTTCATATTGTGCAAGCATTAAGGCGTGTATTTACTTTGGAACTTAACAATTATATGTCTTGGAAAAGCATCAATACTTAATTTTTTTTTGGCTTTGAGGAGTTGTTGCTGCGAGTAACACATGAGCATAAAGTTGTAAATACAAGTGAAAATATAGACTAGAAGATATGCCAAAAAAAAAAAAAAAAAATCCACGTCCTTTAAAGAAAAGCAAGTATTCACAGTCCACAATGCAAGAGGGTTTGTCTTATTTAGAGAGTCTTTTAAAGTCTTAAGAGTCTTTAGAGTCTTTTTTAAAGTTTTCCTTTCCTAAAAATGCTGTGTGGATGCAAGGCCAAAATGGAGAGAAAAAAAAAAGAATTAGTGAGAAAATGACTTGAACAGATGCTTTTATCAAACAACATACAAAAAAAGAGACATCACTGAGTGCCAGTAATGTATTATACAACTAGGGCTGTACAATTAATCGAAATTGAATCACAATTAGAAACGTTACGATTAGTTACCTGATATTTGTGATACGGAACATATATGTATTATTTAATCCCCCCCCACCCAGAGCAGAAGCGTGACTGCCGTTTGTGTGTGACAGTCTTACTAGCCAATTGAGTGAGCACACTTTCGTTCTGTCCAATACGTATTTCACAACTGAACTATGTTAAACACCCACAATAATATAAAAAAAGAAAACCAACAGGAAAGTGCGGACCATTGGGATGATGATGCTTCAGAAACATTAATAGACTAATTAACATCAAAGAAAAACAGTAATTGGTAATATGAGAATATTTTGGTTTCAAAGTCACAGACAGAACAAAAACAGGTAATTATTAAGAGCTGTCACAGAATTGCTGTCACGGATTGACTTGAGCTTGACTACAAAATTAAATCGCAAATCAATTTGCAATTTCTGTTTTAAAATAATAATAATAATAATAAAAAAATAAAAATCGCAATTAGATATTTTCCCAAATCGCACAGCCCTACATACAAGCAATAATACGGTACAATACTATAACATCAAGTTTCAATTGTATACCAAGTACAATGCAATGCTGTAAGAACAGCGTGACTGCTTGTGCTGTAAGCTCATTCCACCGCTGTGTAGTTGAGACAGCAAAGGGTCTGGAAAAAGACTTTATATTTCATTGTGATGGCACATCATGCTAAATAATGAAACGAATACTGTATAATATTCCTGTTGTTCAAATGGCAGAGAATGGTCCTTTTAACCTCATGGTACTGAATTTCCAGAGAATACACAAACTTATAAAAGTGAATGTTTTGAATAAAAGAATGTCAAATGAATGGGGAAATATAATAGAAATAGAAATTCTCTGTAAATTTAAAGGGTTGATTCACCCAAAAATAAAAAATCCCTTATTAGTTTCTCACCTTCATGTTATTTAATCTTCAAAAGACCTTCATTCATCTTCAGAACACAAATTAAGATGAATTTGTATTTTTTATGATTACTGTTGAACGCTTGAGGTCACATAGAATGTTTTGACAATGTTTTAGGCTCCTTTTCTGGACATCTTTGAACATCTTGAGACCATTGCTGTCAAGAGGATGAGAGAGCTCCTGGATTTAATCTAAATAAAATAAATTAATGTTTGTTCTGAAGATGAATGCAGATCTAAGGGTATTGGTAATAAATAACAGATTAAAAATTTTTGTGTGAACAACCCTTTAAATCATGGTTAATGAACACACAGCTTGCTGTTCTTGCAGAATAAAGACAGGTCTCCCAGCAGCATGATGCAAAGCGGAGGTCTGCTGTGTATAAGACTGAAGGGCTTCATTCTGTGAGAACAACTGATTGTATGTTCATTATTCCACTTATAACATAACTAATTGCCACAAAGCTAACCGATTAGACACAAAATATGAGTATGTGATATTAATTTAATCGGTTATTATCTGAGAATAACATTGGAATGTTGTGACTGACCAATCATAGTCAAGAATTTCAAAGAGCTGCGTAATAATTATACATGATGATAATTAATAAAATAGTAAAATATTGTCCATCACTGATCGTAAGCATGCATCTTCAGGCCTGGAAGCAAAATAGTGAAATGATTAAAAGCCATTGTTTGAATCTGTAGAGCTGTAGGCCAGACCTAATGACCTCATGTCCTCACTGACCCTAACGGCCAGTCCAAATCTCCCCTGGTTATTCGGTTCAACATCAACATGCTGGAAATCAAAGCCCTGAACAACAGGACGGCAGAATCATCCAATATGAAGTGCCAGAGTGTCAGCTTTACCGGCTATGCTGACAGTGAGACATTCATGGGGGCTTTGTGTTACTGTTAAGATTGTTGGAGCCAAAAAAAATAATACGTCTAATAGAGTCTGTAGTTCAAACTTTTTTGAACTTGTGTAGTGCCTTAAACATACAAACGTGAAATACGCATGGATTGCATGATCATAAACAGCTAGGTTACTTCCTTAAAAGGACCAATGGCCCTGTGAAAAGGCCCTCCGTGAAGAGAATCAGTCATTTAGTTTGGTTTAAACTGACTATTTAAGTAACATCTCCTTCACACAAGGTCCTTCATGGTTGATTAAATGCTGGTTGGAATTTGCCCTTAGACTCCGCTAGTATTAAAAAACCAAAACAAGTGTCTGTAAAAGAGGTCTCTCATGAGATTGCATTTATGGTCACAAAAATACAGTACAAACATTAATACTGTGAAGTACTATTGCCTTTTAAAATAACACTCTTCTCTTTTTGTATATATATAAAATGTTATTTATTCTTGTGATTATATATATATATATATATATATATATATATATATATATATATATATATATATATATATATAGTATTTTTGCAAGTCTTCAATATTACATTATCTTTCAGAAATAATTACAATATGTTAATTTGCTGCACAAAAAAAGAAAAAGATCACAAAAGATTTCTACTATTATCATTAAAATTTGTAAGTTATTTTAGTTTGTTTTTTTTGTGTTGTGATCAGCTTTTCTCATTCCACCTCTGTAAAGCAGAGAGAGGAAGGTCTGGAAAGCAAGTTGGTTATTCATTGTTGTGAAACAAAGTAATGAAAAATAATTTAGAAGTAGGGATGCTTATTTTGGTTGATTTTACCAACCGGCAACCACCACTCGTTAACAGAATATAAACCATTAACTGGTCAGATTAAAATCAAATTATTATTTCATTTAAAAATTTGACATGTTTATTTTGTGTCTGACACAATAAATATTACATTTTAAAATACTGATATGTGAACATATGAAAAACAGAACATATCAACAGAGCATCTTCACGCATGTTTTTCACTTAAAGGGGTGGTCCAGAATGTAATTTTAAGGCTTGGTTGTGTTTATAAGATGCAAAGCAATGTGTGCTCATGTTTTACTTGAAGGAAATCATGTTATTTTTTCATAAATCTCAAATAAAGCACAAGATATGGGATGCGACCTGTGTGAGCCTTGATTTATTTTTCTGCTGCTACACGAGTTAGGTGAGCTCTCCTGTATTTTTTTAAGCTGAACGCGTTACACGTCTTTCATATATCTGGAATGCAGGTGTAAGTAATATGAATCATCCACATATCTTTGCAACTTTATTATCTGAGATGTAAAACGCATGGAAAAGCTGCCAAAAGAGAATCAATGCAAAGTTGTTTGTTCACACAGCTACATTACACATCAACTAAAGTTTAAAATATGATCGATATAATGACAATATAATGTCGTAGTGGACTACCCCTTTAAATTACTAAATTTAGATTACTAATTTAGATTACAAAATGAAAACACTGACTGAATCCTTTTAAAAAACGGGCATAGGCTTTTATTTAAAAAAAAAAATGTTTTATCTTCCACTAAATAAAAATAGCAGGCAACCTTAAATTGACAGCTCCACTGAAAATACGCATTTAATTAATGCTCCACTGTAAATATCATATCATAAACCTCTGTCAACACTTTTAATACATGTCTTTATTTTAAAGATTATGTCTTGAGTGTCTGGTTTTTCCTTAGAGCTTGTGTGCTTTTATTTCCTCTCTCACTCGTTGTTTATGTGCGCGCGATGCGTGTGATGAAAGACAACGACAAGGCTCATATGGTGACTTTTTGTAATAGATTACTGTTGCATTAATTTGCATACATGTTCTATATGCTGTATAATGAAAGCCTCAGGTGCGGAGTAATCATTATGCAAAAATCAAGAACATCTTTGGATTTGTTTGATTCGTAGATTATGTAGGCTATTTTAAAAAAATTATATTTTATAAGAACTATAAATAACTAATTTTCCAAATGGAAAAAGGGTTGGCTTGTTGGTTGTACCGGAGCGCGCTCTAATAGAGAGACAATCCAGACACTATGACTTGTGGCTGGCTTGTTTTCAAAGCAGCGCACATTTCAGAAAGTTTTATTTTGCATCTTCGCTCTCCAATTGTGCAGATGAACAAGTGTTTATAACACTGATCCAGGACAGAGGCAATTAGCATTAGCTCTGGTTTGACATCAACTCGACTGTGTCAAACTGTTAACAGCAATATTCTTCTTTCATATTGCTTCTTTGGCAAAATATGTCTGTAGGTGCGTGTGGTTGCACATGTTACCATTTCGCGAGTTAACAAATATTAATTGCACATTTTTGCAGCCAATTAAAACAAATAAAAATAATATTTTCAATCATTTAACTGATATCATTATTCGGGTGAAAACGCACCCTTTTGGTTAAAGGTGAATCAGTTATTTTGAGCATCCTAATTTAGATGCCATGACAGATTATTAAGGTTCTCTTATGAACAGAAAACTAACAACAGCGGCATTGGAAAAATCATTTTGTAACATTAGAAATGCCTCAATGCAATGTTACTGAATGAAAGTTATATATAACAGTAGAATAGTAACTGTTATATTTATTCATGGTAGTCGTGTGTTTCAAGATGCAGACAAACTCACAGAATCACTGGTACATCTTTCAGCCTGGTTAGATCAATGCTGTTTAAAGTTGAACATCTCTAAAACCGTGTATATTTTTTTTCCAATGGTAGGCTACGTGTAGTACCAGATGTATTTGTATCAGGGGAAAGATTACAAGTTGTATCTGAGTATAAGTACCTTAGAGTTTTAATAGATTCAAAACTATCATTTCATCTCAGTCAGGTTTGTAACCGGGTCAGATTCAGTTTAGCAAATTTTAGATTTATTCGTGATCAGATGTTATCACTCCATGATCATTTCTCACATCACTTATTGTTTAACCACTTGGTCCCAAGCCAGCATCACTACTCTGAAGCCACTTAAATCTTTATACAAACAATCCATAAAAACCATTGATAAGAAATCAGTTCAATATCACCATTGTTTAAAATTAAAGAAATACAACCTGCCTAGTTGGGAAAATTTTATTACATACGTACATATCTGTTTAATGTTTAAGACATTACATAACCCGACTTCACCATTAAATCAGTTTGTAAATATTAGAACGACTGCTCACCGAACTACAAGAGGGATGACAGAGGGGACTGCATTATTCCTCTCAAAAAAAGTAAATTCAGTCAATCTGTGTTTTCAGTGAGAGCTGCTAGGTAATGGAACTCCATCCCACCAACAATTAGAAGATCATGCACTTTTCGTTCTTTTCAGTCTCATGTTAGAAATTGGTTATTAACAAATCAGCATTGTCAGCATTAGTACTGTATTCTAGACACATTTGTACTGTTGTCTTTGGCTTTTTGTCCTCTGCTGCCATCAGTCTGTTCTTTTTTTTCTTTTCTTTTTTTCTTTTCTTTACTTTTTTAACTGTATTTTTTATGAAAGTATATTTAATGTTTAATGTTGTGCTTCTATTTTAGGTGTGACTTTTTAACATTCTGTAAAGGGTCTACGGATGAAAAATAGCCATTCTTGGCTAATTCTGGCACATTTTACAGTGATTTTTATTAATGTGCATTGACCCTGTAAACAAATAAACTAAACTTAAAAAAAAAAAAGTATACATTTCTTAAAGTGAACACAAAGATCTTAAACATCTTAAACAACACCACATTTTTGAACAGTAGTGTAAATATTATTTCTTACGCATTGGTGTATTTGTCTTTTTAAACTAAAATAAAATAAATTGAATACAACATTTAATAAAAATAAAACCTAACTAAAGTTGGAAATGACTACATCTTTTACAATCGTTGACATACAATGGCTACCCTTTCAGTAAAACATTTAGCAAGACATAAAAATGAAAGAGCACAAGTGATACCTCAATGTAATTGGTGAGCCAGAAGAAATCTGCATCCGTGTTCTCCACTGTGAAAAGAACGTTCCCTCTGGGAATGATCTTCCCCTCTGGAACTGCTTTGATACGGATTGGAAGACGGCCATCATATTTCTGACAACACAATTAGGAAAGGGGAAGGCAGGTGGTCGTTATCTCCATGCACATTCATCTCCGGAACAAAGTAAAAGACTTCAAAGTCATGTAATGGTGAAAAGTCAAAAAAAAAAAAGAAAAAAAAGAAACATTGACTTTGATATGCACCTCTAAAACTTTCCTCCATCCCTCTTCGTCGAACACCGCCTGTTTAAAGTGCATCTGATAAAACACTTTTGCCTCCTGAATCTTTTCCTCTGTAATGACTGGACCTGCAAAATATTTACAGAAAGCAATAAGCACACATGAAAGATAGAATATATGTACATAAAATTTATGCACAATGTCCAATATTTGGAATGAAGTGAAACTTTCTTGGTAGTTATATATAAAAAAGTTGACATGACTGCTTTCAAGAAGTGCAATATGGTGCAATACCAGAATAACACTTAAAATTCAATGAAATATTCATTGTATAAAGAGTGGGTACAAATGGTGTGGCTGGAAAGCAACTTTAAATCAGTGGAGACACAAACAAAATAAAGTTCTGCCGTTCATGTGTACTTTCTCATGGTTTTAGTTTAAAACAACACAAAATGAACACTTTCAAAGGAATTAGAAGCATAAGTGGAATCAGCCTTATGTAAATGACATTAAGCGATTAAGTAGTCTTTGTTTGTATTTACCATAGCAACGCTGGCTGGATGTTTATGTCCACTATTATCAAAATTAAAATGTTGTAAAGCATCAAAATGGCCAAAACTACACAACTGAATGAAAAATTAGGTATTTATTAAATATGAAAGGGATGTACACTACTTATTTGTACTTACTCTAAAAGAATAGGCCAGCATTCATGAACATTTTCATTAAAAATTTAAAATGGTCAATAATAGAGTATTTGTTAAACCTCCAGTGGATGTTGTCACTTTTAAATAATTAAAAGCGTCAGTTTGTAGACTTGTTTTGACTGCTTGACTGTCCTCTATAACTGTCCTTGAGCTAATGTGAGCTATTAGCCGTTTTGTTTTTCATTACCCAATCAGGTGAGTGGCATTAGGTGAAAAAAACATTTAGTCCGTGCCAATACACACACAAGCTGAAAAACAAACAGTACATGCATGTGATCCCAGTGAAAGTTGTGATCACTGCAAGAGTCAATTATAGAGGTAGAAGCGCAGTCAAAATTATTCAACCCCCCAGAGACTGAAGTCATTTGCCAGCAAATTACATTTTTCATCTTTAACAGTTTAGTAGCATAGCTGATAATGTGACTACATAAAGCAGCATTTTTGGACTTTTGTAACACAGCTTTGCCATTTTCTTTTTCCTCAACAGACTTTAATTCATTCGGATTTGTCTGTGGTGGTCTGAAAGAATGTTTTATGGAGTGATAAGGCTAAACTGTTATGGTAAGGGCCCCATGGATCAGCGTTGGTGTTAAAAAAAGACTAGGCATATGAGCTGAAGAACATAAGCAAAGTCAAAGAAGGTGAGCCATTCTTTTGCTTCGTTGTTGTTGTTGTATGAAGTGGAACGATTAACTTTCCAAGCCAATTATTTATTCTTCGTACCAGGACAAAGATTGTGATACTTTCAAAGCAAAGACAGAAGCTTGACAATTATTAGACTTTACAGCAGGAAAACCTTTCCAGATTATAGAAGCTTGGTTCATGGATTGTTTTAGAATGTTCTTGAATAGTCTGTTTAGCCTCCAGAATCCTTGTTAAAGGGGTAATGAAATGAGAAATCACAATTCTCTCAATATTCTGTCATATTAGTGATTATTGTAATTTTAAAACATGTTGTAATTTTTAGAAACCCAGACATGTGTAAAAGACACAGACAAGTATAAAAGCAAGTTATACAGAAGCTAATTTGCCAAAACAACAGGTTTTGAATGAGCCATTTTACTATGTAAATATTATGTCTAAACTCCGCCTCCACAGAAAATGATCAACACCTTAGGCACTACCAAGCTTAAACCTGAGTGCAACAATTTATTACGGATTCCAGGTTGAACAACAAGGGTCCTGAGATATATTTACATGTATTTATTTAGCAGATTTAGCTTTTATATGTTATCTTGTTTGGTGAGCATGTCAAAAATGTCAACCCAATTAGCAGCAACATGCATATAAACCCAATTATATTATGTATATCTCTCGGTGTATATTAAAGAGGTTCATGTAAAGTTTCTTTCATTCTGGACTGCAAGTGCAGTGACTGTAACACTGAGTGTATTTAGCAGTATTAAACACATATTTAGACTATTTCATCAGGCATGAAAATTCCTAAAAAAACAAAACAGAGAATGGCCTTCTCAGCTGCCATAGATTCAACTCTTGCGTCATCAGTACAGAATGTTCAATCCACCACCGTTTCAGTTTCAAAAACATTTTGCAATGCTTTATCAGGGTGTTAAAAACACAGGCCTTCTTTTGTTTCAATGTTCACGCTTCAGTCAATAAACAATGAAAGATGTAAATCAACCCAATCTCAAGCGATAAAGATGGCTGTATAGATAACAGGACGCTGTGTGCTGCTATGTCCCAGTTCGCATACTTTCCATCCTAAAATTCGAAAATAGCGTGGAACAGGTTCCCGGAAGATTTACTATTTCTGATAAAAATTTGAAGTGTATAGCTGTCGATACTCTAACCACTAATATTGCCCACAATGCATTGCCTGTTGGACCTGAATTTGATTAGAACTACAAACTTGCATGCTCTTACGCAAAAGTATATACTTTTCGTCCACAAAAAAAAGAAAATACTTTTAGGGCGTGGTATAAATATGTAAAATGGGACACAGCAAATTAAATAAGACACAGTCTTTGCAGCAACTTCCAAAATCAGAAAAGAGAGGAGAAACTTTCTAATTTAAAAGATAATTAATTTTTTTAAAAAATTATGTGTGTGTGTGTGTATATTAATTCACTCTTGGCTTGTTCCAAAAAATGTTTCGTTACATAGAATGCTGTAACCACTTTTATATATTTCAAAATATCTTCTTTTATGTTGGAATTAACTTTTTTGGGTAAACTATCCCTTTAACTGTGTCAGTAAGATCTTTATTGACTTTCCACAGATTTGTTCACACTCTACGTTTAATTTAATGATAGATTTTCAGATGTACTGAAACAAAAAGACGATGCTCTGTGGACTTTACTAAATCCGACTGGTCACTATTGTTTGGTCTAGTTCTGTGTTTCTCAACCACGTTCCTGGAGAACCACCAATGTTGCATGTTTTCCATGTCTCCTTTGTCTGTAACACTCATTACAGGTCATTACAGCTGATGACCTGAATCAGGTGTGTTTGCTTAAGGAGACATGGAAAATGTGCAGAGCTTGTTTTAATAATTAGTTTAATATGTGCTCAGACTTTTAACTTAACTCATGAAAATATTTAAATAATAATCTGCTGGGATAACATGCTGACTTTTTACAAGTACTTTTTTGACCTTTTAAAGCTGTGCAAAATTATTTTAACATGTAAAACTAAGCTGAATTGTACAGTGCTCTCATCTTAAAAGTATAATTAGGTAGTTCCAAGAAATCCTCTGTTGTTTTTGTGTAATTATGAGTTCCTCTGAACATCAGCCCAAATGTGACTCACTAATCTGTGATATCTGGAGGAACCTGTATTGCCATAAAGGTTTAATATGTAACACTTGAGGGATGTGACCTATTTTAACAATTCACACTGTTTGTTTAACAAACTCTCACTTAACAATTCATATTTATGCTATACTGCCATATTTAACAAAAGTGTATATACTCTATCTCTTTAAAGATAAATATAAACATTAGCCCAGAATGCATTTGTGGCTTGCTCTTATTTGAGAAGTTGAAGACTAATGCAAAGCTCATGCATTATTACACAAATTCAGCATTGGCCAAGATGGACACTTATAGATATCAAACTACGAAATGCAACCATTGGGAGCTGAAGATTTTCTTACACAAATGTTCAGAGATAATTTGAATAATTCATTTTTTGGCCAACTTTATGTCCTCAGTATCACTCAAATATACTTTAATAAACTTTCTATAATCATATACAGTAGCTTTGGTTTAACTGTTTTCCTATAGTATTGGTTCACAGCAGAAGAATGACTTGCAGGTCAAGGGGTTGAATAATTTGTTCACATTTTATTTTATTGTACAATTAACACTGTTAACAAACTATTAACTAAGACTATTAGCTCAAGAAACTACTAATGTTTTTGATAGATAAATTAGGGATGTAGAATAAGATCATACTTTTAAGTACAAATAAACAATTCTTTGCTTTATAATATGCAGGTAATAAGCCAGTAGTTAACAAAGTGAATCGTTCTTACGCCCCATTCACACAATGTTTCAGCATCAACGCTTGACAGAGGGCGTGTCAGAAGTTGGGGCTGACGTGATCATCATAGCAGCATCAGCCAATGAAATTAGTCAACAATAGGTCACTGTCTGAGCTGGTGTATTTGCATACAGCGATCTGATTGGCTGACGCTGAGCAAGTCCAACTTCTGCAGCGAGCAATGCCTCTGAAACGGCGCCGACGTATCTACAATGCAGTTTGGCAACGCCTGACGTCACCCATTCAAAGTGAATGGGAAGCATTGAAGCTGACACCCTGTGTGAATGGGAGTTAGGCCCTGTCCACGCGAACATAGGTATTTTCAAATCTGCATCTTTTTTGCCATTTCTTTTTGTGCACCATAACCTCTGTTGTTTACAAGATGCAATGGCCAGTGCACCAAACAGATAATAACCCTTTTTTCTTTTTTTGTTGAGGCCAACATGACTTTACGGTTAGGAATATACTAACACCTGTTTCTTTTGGCCAGCTCTTGCAGTGCATTATAGGGGGTTTTTGCATTTTCATGTGGACGAAATGTTTTTTTTTTAACTGTTGTTAAAATTGTTCTTTTAAACAGAGAATTAATCTATTTTACAAAATACATGTGGACATGGTCTTAAAATAAAGTGGTACCGATAATTTTATTCGCATCTATAGTTCGGATTACCTGTTAGGTATTTCTTCAGGAGATACTGCAGGCCAAAAAACACCACCTCACTGAACTGCGCCCCCTTTTTATGCCGGCACTCGAAATAGGAGTAGACTTTATTTATATTGGGTGGGTATTGCTTGTAGTGGGTAATCTGCAAAGAAAAAGAGGTTTTATAATCAGAATTACATACACACTAAAATACATCACTATTTTCATTACCAAAACGGTGTTTATTTGATCAAAAATACAGTAAATCAGCATTTTTAGAATATTCAGCATCACTACTTAAGGCTTCAGTGTCACATGACCCTTCAATAATCGTTCTAATTTTTAGATGCTAAAATAAATAATTTATGCTGATAAATATTCTACATTTATTTCTGGATTTTTTAAATAAGAAGTTCATAAATTTTTCTTCGGCTTAGGCCAGTGGTCACCAAACTTGTTCCTGGAGGGCCGGTGCCCTACAGATTTGAGCTCCAACCCTAATCAAACACACCTGAACAAGCTAATCAAGGTCTTACAAGGTATACTTAAAACATCCAGGCTGGTGTGTTGAGGCAAGTTGGAGCTAAACCCTGCAGGGACACCGGCCCTCCAGGACCGAGATTGGTGACCCCTGGCTTAGGCTCTATTTCAGAGCTCGCCACAGTGGAATGAACCACCAACTATTCCAGCATATGTTTTACACAGCAGATGGCCTTTAAGCCGCAACCCAGTATTGAGAAACACCCATACACACTCATACACTGCGCACAATTTAGTTTATTTATTCACCTTTATAGCATGTCTTTGGATTGTGGTGAAAAGCGGAGCACCAAGAGGAAACCCACGTGTAGAAGAACAAATTATCATATGCATTTGTTTATATGGCAAAACATGTCTTTTCCACCTAGAAGGTTCATACAGATTTTAAAGGCAGATACTGATGAGATCAGGGACTGGCGTGTGGACTTTGGGGGTTTTAGGATGTGGTCACATGTTGATTGGTTAGTCTCCGTATTTGGGCTTTGGTCACATGGTCAAAAAAAGAGACAAAATAGTTGGTAAACTTTGCTCTTCTTCTTTTCCTGCTCTGCTCCTCTATGGCAGAACTACAGTTTAAACCGGTGACCTGTTTGATATGAGGCGACAGTGCTAACCACTGAGCCACCGTGCCGCTCTAAAGAACAGCATTTACTCAATATTTAATTAATCCCTAATATTGTAACTCCCTGATCCAAACTTTTAAACGATAGGGTAGCAATAGTGTATTATTCAATTGAAAACTACATGCGTGATAGACCTGAGACCAACGAGGAAACAAAACCATTTTACGTTTTGTCAGTTTAGTGGCTAATCCGTACAAATTCCCGAGTTCAGTCATACGATTTGTAAAAGGAGGAGGATAAACAAATCCTACTAAATTGCACAAACAAGATTGTACAAATTCATAAAAATGAGACATTAAATGAAAAAGTTATGAAATGGAGTGAGATTGTGTTGCTGAGACACAATTGCATTGCTTCCACACCACAGTCTTCTGAATCTGTCAACTTCAAGCTGTGCACGTGCATCTCTTGGCATTTTATCAAAATCCTGTTTACTGTACACTGATACTGTCAAGCTACAGCTGGGGTGGCTCAATAAAGAGTCTTGCTTTACAAGCACAGGCCTGCCATTATACTCTGGAAGCAAATTTAATATTAAAAAGAGATCCGCCTTCAGCGCCCTGGGTTATAATCTGCATAAACAACACACGGCCACTTTTCTTGATCCGCCATAACAGAGGGCCTATAGTTTTCTGTGCTCTTTTGTTCAAAGCAAAACAAATTAAATCTACATCTGCTACTTGAGAAACAAATAAAAGTCCATGTGATGTTCCATCAGTTCGGCCAGCCAACTTTCAAATCAACCCTGAAAATCTATTAATGTCACTTGCGTAAAGGCAAAGAATTTCCAAATCATACACTGTAAAAAAATATACCATATGTTAGCAGTTACCTTTCTTGGCTTTTTAATTGGATTATGAGACTTCACTCGCATTATCTTTGCTACTTGTTCAAACTACTTATATAAAATGAGCTGAAACAACACAGTTCTTGAGTTATTTTTGGAACAAAAGACAGTGAGCTTAAAACTGTGAAAACCATCAAGTCAAATATGTCTCAAACACAATTCCTGGAGAGCCGCAGCTCAGCAAAGATTTGCTCCAACCCTAATCAAACATGGCTGATCCAACTAGTCAAGGTATTCAAGACTAGACACTACTAGATCATAGATGTTTGATTAGGGTTGGAGCAAAACTATGCAAGGCTGCAGTCCTCCAGGAATTGAGTTTGAGACTTACGCCTGTTTCACACCACAGGCGAAAGCAGTGCATGAGCAGCGCGTATGTCGAGCAGAAGCAGCACGCAGGCGTTTGCCTATCACACCAGCTGCGTCTGCAGTGCGCAGCTCTACGGCAGCTGCTGCAGAGATCAATCTATCTCTGTCTCTTCTATCTAGTTACCTATGTCTCTCTATATACAAATACACTTACTAAACTTTTCATCTGCACCAAGGCCCGCGGCAACTTCCTCCTATGCTGTATTTTTAACCTGCAAATGTTAATTTTACAAATTTTATAGATCAAATAGTACTGTATGCTTCTCAAGCTCTACGAGAAGTGTCTACAGTCAGAAGACAATCGCCTGTGATATCATGTCATTTGGTTTTTGATTGTCAGGTTGCTGTAGGCCTAGTTACAATAATATTTATACAACATAGGTATAATGATATTTATACATGATCAAACTAGTGTTACTTTCTCCGCTTCAGTGATGTCCAGCGGCAGAATAACAGCTTGTTAATTCATGCTCGTGCAGAGGATGAAACGGACAAAAGTAATTGATGCATGCCCTTCTTTTACTTATTCTCGTGTTTTCAGGTTCACAGTGCAAACAGCTCCCGGTTGGAATAACTTGAGTGAACATAAAACAAAGCCGAATAAAACTTTCTTCCTCTGCTTGAATCGCACAACACACAGCGAGCTAACATAATCCAGCATGCGTGACGAACTACACTACCCACAATACACTTCGCTATGGACTACAACTCCCCTAAATATTCTATTTCCCCTCTCGTGAAACACTAGCGTGCAACTTAAGCAAAACTGACGCTAAAATTGTTTTACATTTGGTTTTGTAGTTCGGGCCTAAATAAATGTTTGTTGCCGTTTTTAATCATTTAAGTTAATTTGATTGACTATATATAAATCCTTTGACATTATTAACGCATTTATTGGGTAAAACTGCTAATTTGTACTGTCATTCATTGTGTTTTGGTCATTATTAATGCACTGTTACTTTAATTGAGCGTGAGCAGCGCAGCAAAAATAGACCCAGCGCCGAAACTATCGCTGCACTGCTGCTTCAGCGACGCTCACGCCTCGCACTGACGCGCTGCTGCTGCGTGCGGTACGAAAGCTCTAAACGGTTAACATGGACGCCGAAAAAACATGCGCTGCTCAGGCTCTGCTCACGTGCTGCTGACGCTTGCGGTGTGAAACAGCCGTCATGCATTAAGTTAACTAAATTCAGGGGTTCTCAACTGGTTTGGCCATGGGACCCATATTTTTACATGGTCATCAAGCCATAACCCAAATTTTTAGGAAATATAATACAATTTTAGGAATTATACTTAATTTTTATTTATTTGTTAACATAAACAATTAGTGACAGACATATCATAAGAAATTCGCCAAGACTTACAATTAAACAATATTTTAAGTTTTTAAGTTCAATATATATATATATATCCATTCTTTACATATTCGGGGTTGTACTTGACATGTTTGTTGCAATAATTGAATGAAATTTCACATGTCAAACAGTATGGTTGTCGCACATGCATTTCAAAATAAAAGTCTGGTATCAGCAAAATAAGTAAAAATTGTAACTTTTGTTTTTTGACTCACCAGTTGAGAAACGCTGACTTAATTTATCTGTGTTGAGACTAGATGAAGGGATTGTGTGGAATATCGATCTTTTGAGAGAGAGTGTTTTGAATTTATTGTCATATCAGCATCTTTGGCTATTTCATTGCAAAAACAGATAAGACATTTTATAAACATTTTATAAATATTGCTCTTTTATAACAATTTCAAACTGTAACAGCTATCAACAGCAATAAATAATACACAAGATAAAAATCTAAAACAGACTTTAAAGGTTTTATCCTAACAATAGTTGTACCTTTTTTGAAGGATTCACATTTAAAAGATATTTAATTAAAAGTCTCTTTAGATAAAAAAGCGTTGTCTGATAACTGCCAGAACTTCTGTTATTTTACAGACTTCTCTCTCTCTCTCTCTTTCTCTAATATATTACTTCTCACACAATATATTGATTCAAATATCGATATAAGTCACTTTGTTAAACTGCAGTTTAATTTTTCAACAAGAAAAATCGACAAAGCAGAGATCAAGGTCCCATAACACAATTCTTTTCTGTGTATTTTTACTGTGCATATACATAAAGAATGGAAGACAATCTTTTAATCAGACAATCTTTCAACACAAAGTAAAGCTGCTGCCATAATTTGGTTTTTTCTGTGGATTGAGTTTCTCTGAACATTAGCCCAGACATCATTCACTAAACCATGATATCTGAATGAACCTGTATTGGCACTATGATTTATTTGTATCACTTTACCACTGGCAGATATTAAACTTTCACTTTACTATTGTTTATGCTACAGTCAATTAAAAAGAAAAGTTTTATTTATCATTTTTGGGTGAGATTTCAACATGGATTCAAAAGGGATTTTCAGCTTGCTGTTGTATACCAAAGATTATTACACAAACTTAGCATTGAGCCAAGATTGAGAATTACAGAGGTGAACTTGCTAAACTGCTGTACAGATCCTCAAAAACCCAGTGAAGGATTTGAGACAACCCTTAAGCAGATTTGATCATTACATAATAAAACATGTTTAGATCTGTAAAACAGAAAACAAATACATTAATACACTACTGCTCAAACTCAAATGTTTGAAAACATTTGAGATTAGTTATTGCCTTTGAATGGAAAAAAAAATACATTTTTAAGTTAAGAAATGTAATTTCAATGAAAATTTGGAAAATATTTTAAATTGCATCTGCATAATTACTTCAGTTTTCTGTGTTACATGATCTTTTAGAAATCCTTCTAATATGCAGATTTGCTGATCAATTTTGGTGATCAATCATTATTAATAATTGTTATTATTTCCAATTAGGGCTGCACGATATTGGAGAAATCTGACATTGCGATGTTTTGTTTTGCTGCAATATATATATATATATATATATATATATATATATATATATATATATATATATATATATATATATATAATTTCACCAGATGATTTGAACAGCTCTATCTTGGAAAGATTTAGTTCATTTAGATTGGGGTGATCAAGTCTTATTTGTCTTATTTGATTTGTTTTTAAGTGTCTAAATGGTGCTGTTACCTCTCTGAGCTTCTCTGTCCCTACATACCTTCTCGTTCACTCAGGTGAGCCGACCAGCTCCTCTTGGGTGTGCCCAGGACCAGTCGAAAGCTTAGAGGGGATTGGGCTTTTGCTGTGGCCGCAGCTAAATTGTGGAATGGGCTGCCGTTGTATATTAGACAAGCCTCTTCCATTACTCTTCTTAAAACCCACTTGTTCAGTTTGGCTTTTAGCAAAGTGTGAGATGTTGACACTTTACGTTTATTTATTTGTATTTTAAAGTATGTGCTACACTTTGTTTTACTCTCTATTGTCAGCACTTTGATCAACTGTGTTGTTTTAAAGTGCATTATAAATAATATTGAATTTAATTGAAAATTATTTTATAAAATGTAATAAATTACCATCATATAACTGATTTAAACTAATTAAAAGTGAAATAAACAGTGCTTTAAGGTTATCTGTGGAGTCTAACAGTATTCAAATACAAAAATGTAACAATCAAGCGTAAAACAACACGGTCATCATTGTATAAAATTATATCTTTATTTAAATATTGAACAAATAATCTAATCCTGCAATGTGACAATTATGAATACCCACTTTGCAATCTCAATGTTTAAACGATGGATTGTGCAGCTCTCTTTCCAATAAATAAATATTTTTCCCAGCTTTATATTTCTGTGAAAAGTGTGATGCATTTTTACGTTCCAGGATTATTTAAGGAATAGAAAGTTTAACAGAACTGTGTTTATTTGAAATCATAACAAACAATGCTGTATAACATTATAAAAGTATTTATGATCAATTTCATGTGCTCTAGATAAAAAAAAAACTGCATCAAACACACACACACACACACACACACACACACACACACACACACACACAATGTTGCAATGTTTTTAACGCTGGTAATTAACTGTAGAAAAAATTTTAAGAGTTTCTTAATTATTTTAAATTGACAGAATATTTCATAAAATTAGTTTTTTTTGTATATCTAATGTGGTAAAGTGTTAACAATGTGCTTTAAATGATTTAACCTCACTTTATGTAGTCAAACAAATATAGGTAGTCAAACATTTACCTCTGTGGAAAGTTGTTGACGCACTAAAGATAGTTTTGATAGTTTGATGAATTATAAATGAAAGTGCTGAGTTTATTGTTTGCTGTAATCAGTCACATGATCAGAGCTCTTTTCTTTCATTTTCTCCTGACCGTGTCAAAGATCAAGATAAGGAATCAGGTTAAACTCGTCACATAACAAAAGAAACAACTATCGTGTTTGATGTCAAGTACCATTTCCAAGAAATAGCTAAAGACATTTGTCTTTAATCACTACTCAATAATAAGTACTTTTTTTACTGCTGTAAAACCCCCGATCTGTGTAAGGTAATGTCAGACAAACTGAAACTAGTAATAAATCTGACATATTATGGTTCTTTTGTTGATCTGGATTGTCTGGAAAAAAATCATTTCATCTGTTAACATCTAGAAAAAATGCTCGGGTTCCAATCACCATCTGATCTATTTTTTATTCTATCTGTTTTTGTTACACTACTGTCAAAAGTTTGGGTCAGTATGATTTTTAAATATTTTAAATGTATCCTTGCTCACCAAGGCTGCATTTATTACATCAAAAATACATTACAAATTGTACAATTGTGAAATGTTATTGCACTATAAAATAACTTTTCAAAAGTAGTTTTTCATTTAATTCAATCATAAATTTTTAACTTCATTACTCAGTCTTCAGTCACATGATCCTTCAGCAATCTCTATAATATTAATTATTATTATTACTATTATTGTTATTATTATTATTATTATTAATGGTAAAAGTGACTGGAAGAATAATTTCATTTGAAACTACATACAATAAGAAAGCTGTAATTAAAATTGTAGTAAATATTTAACACATTAACTTTTTTGCATTTAATAAATGTCGCCTTTTGACCGGTAGTATATATATAAAACATAATACACTCTTCATCTATTCTCTACTTAGACTTTAATCCTCTAAAACTAACGATCTCTTTTCCATTTCTATTTGATTTATTTCCTTTAAAATCTCTGACCTTCTAGCTGTAAACTCTCTCTATTATGTATATTTATAAATAACTGCACCAAACTAACTAAGAATGAAAATTATTTTTTTATATTTGTTTGGTTTTGTTGCTGTGATACTTTGTTACTTTTATGATTCTAATGATTAAATGTAAAGTAAATTTACATTACATTTATTGCTAAAAAACTCTCACTAGTATTACACAAGTCATTTTAAACAGCACAGTTCAATGTCAACATGAGGAAGCAGTTACAATAATAAAATATAAAATACTACTTCTACTACTAATAAAGAATTATTATTATGCTTTAAGCTTTCTTATCAAATGAGATAGAAACAGTCATTTAGTAATGATGTAATTCAGCAAATAAATAAATATAAAGTATTTGGGTCCCACTTCATTTTTAGTGGCCTTAACAAACATGTACTTACACTGTAATTAATTACATTGTACTTCTTGTGTAAAACTGTTTATACTTATGCTTGATGAAATACCTGCATTTCATTACATCTGTACTTAATTTCAGTAATTACATTTACAATTACACTGTTGACCATCCCTTACACCCCAACCCACTCTTTAACCTACCCATACCACCAAACCTGTCTGTAAGCGTACCAATATCCCACCTTAACCAGAAGTGTTCTGCAATACATTATGAACACAGTAAGTACACTGTATTTATATTTACATGTAGGTACATGGTAATTAAGGCCACTTAATATAAAGTGGGACCATCATTTGACCCCAAAACCTGAAAAATGTATTTAACAAGAGATTAAGTGTATTTAGTTTTTCTGTAAATTAACTTTATTTAAATAAATATTTAAACAAAAATAAAAAACTGGTTACACTTTAGTTTGGAAATCAGTTCTTTACTTTTGCTTCAAATCAAAATGTAATTTGCTGTTTATAACGCTTCTGCTAAGTTAAGGTAAGGTAGTCACAATGGGGCATTAATCAGCAACGTTACTAACAGTAAGCATTCTCGCATAATAAGAAAACTGTTAGCAAGAATAGTGAGAATTTGTACCCAAACTAAAATGTCTGTCAAGTCTTGAATTAGGAAAACATTATGTATAAGATATATTAAAAGGATTCCCACGATACTTTTATAAAACGAGTTTCGATTCCTCGACTGCTGTGATGTGCTGTGTTGTGTGACGTCACGAGCTGTGGCCTCTGGCGAAGCTAAAAGCCGCACGAGGTCATTCTGCATAAGCCCCGCCCCCGCGCTCAGCGTTCAATGAGTGGGGCATTTAAAATCAAGCTGGGCTTTCGGCAAAACCCTTCAACAAAACAAGACCAAAACGCCACAATGACGACCCTATCACGTTCACAGGTCAACCCAAATACTATTTTCATTTAAATTCCATCGATTCACAAGGTCAAAGTTGGTTTAATCTGCACGTATACGCGACGGCTAAAGCACAAAGGGCTTCTGTCAGAATTAGGTAAAGTCCTGTCACGCGCTTGGGTTTCTGCTGTTGAACGGCTCGAAGCAGGTGATTCTTACCTTATAAGAGTCTGTGGCGAGTAAAAAATTGAAATCCTGAGCTGCCATCATCGAGGACAAAGTAAAAGCGAAACGATGTCGCTTTGCTGTAGTGTGTATGTGGTCCGATCAGCGTGACACCGGTCTCTGTGAGCTTCTTCACGGCACCTTGCGTGTTTGGTCAGAGAAATGTAGTGAAATATGATCACCTCGGTATCTTGTATATGTGAGGGCGCGCACGGATAGGTCGCATCGTCTAGTATCAGACAACGGGGTGGAAAGGGGGCGGAGTCAGGCTGGACGTATGAACGGTACGCTGCGCACGTTCGGTGATGTGAAAGTGGGCGGAGACAGAAAAATCTAAACAGTAAAAGCTGTTATGCTGATGCCTGTTGCGTTCAAAGGTTGAAGTTTCGTTTTCTTGTAATAGATAATTAAGCGGTGAATGTTTTGAGAAGCTTTCAGTTTTGCTTTTCTTGCTGGAAAAATGGTTTGAAGCCACGTACACATACAGTCAAGAAAAAACCTAATTGAATATGTTCAGTTGGGTGTGAGCTGATGTAAGAATTGATATAGCTCATTTAAAGTATAAAAAGTTGGTATCGTGTTGTCAAAAATGAATGTATACCTGTCTAATGTAACAACAAAAAGCTGCAAATGTCTATGTATAAAATTATTATTATTATTATTATTATTATTATTATTATTATTATGTAAAATGTTCAATAAATACTAATTTATTAGTTTATTGTGTAAAAAAGAAGTTTTTTTCAAACTTAAATCAACAACGGTCCCATAAGCATCCCATATCATAAAACATATTTTATAAGTATGCATTACTCATTTATATTATTATTATTATTGTTGTTGTTGTTGTTACTAGTATTCATATATAAAATTGGAATAAATTTCAATAGTATGTGAAATTATGTAAAAAATGTTTTAGTCATACTTAAATTAATAACAATCCTATAAGTATGAGAATAAGTCCCTTATCATAAAACATATTTTGTAGGAATGCAATTTTTTTTTTTGGTCAAGGATATTGCACTGAAAGTACTTTGGAGGTTTTACTTTAATATCTTAAAAACAATTTTAGGATTTAAGATGTAATTCATCTTTTATATATATATATATATATATATATATATATATATATATATATATATATATATATATATATATAATCATGGGTAGGCATAGATTTTTTAATATGAAAAAGCTAGAAGTTTCTGATGTGACAAACAAACTTGAACTTAATTCGTAATTCCAAATCGTAATTATCTCACTTTTGAGCTGATGTAAGTATTGATGTAACTCGTTTAAAGTATAAAAAGTTGGTATTGTGTTGTCTAGAAATAAATGTAAATCTGTCTAATGTAACAACAACAAAAAGCTGCAAATGACTATTTTCTAATTATTATTATTATTTAAAATTTGCAATAAATAATTATAACTAGTTCATTATGTAACTAATCATATTAGTTTATTGTGTAAAAAAAAGTTTTACTCAAACCTAAATTAAAAAACATCCCTCAAGCATCACTTATCATAAAACATATTTTGTAGGAATGCATTACTAAATTACTATTGTATTATTGTTATTGTTGTTGTTAATAATAATAATAATAATAATAATAATAATAATAGTAATTATTATTATTATTATCATTATTATTATAATATTCATAATAATTATAATAATTAATAATAATAATTATTATTATTATTTAATAATTTAATAATTAATAATAATAATAATAATAATCTCAAACTTAAATCAACACCAGCCTATCCCTTATCGTAAAACATATTTTGTAGTTAAGGATATTACACCAAGAGTTGTTTGGAAGTTTTACTTGAATATCTAAAACACAGTTTTAAGTTATTTATCATATATATAGTGAAAATTCATATTCAATGTTTGTTATTGGTATTAAATATCATTTATTTCTATGTTGATCTTGCCATAAGATAGCCAGAAGTTCCCGATGTGACAAACAGGTAAACATAAACTTGTATATATTAACTCATAAATCCTGAGTTGTCTCTTAATTTTTTTCCATATGCTTGTTTTATCTCAACTATTTTTAGAGAGGTGTTTGGGCAATATATTGGAAACATTTTTGATATAATGTATTGTTGTTAGAATTAACATGAATGCTGTTCCACAAAATCTATGAGATAAATTGCATCTGAATGACTGCTTTAAGCTGTCAGTTCAACATATCTTTATAATCTCTTTTCCTTTAAAAAAGACTTTTAAAAACAGCACAACCTTTATAGTAAATCATTTAAAGACCAGGTGATTAACGTTTAAAAATTATGTAATTAAGCCCAGAGTTGCTCAGAGGATTTGTTGATATTCAGTAGACTCGGAACGCTTGATCAAACAAAATATTATAAAGACTGTAATATTTTGATTATCCAAGGCTCAGACTTGATGTCAGCTTTTAATTAGGCAATCTTTGAAAGCTTTGAAGTTTTCTTACAATTTATTTTTGAGACAATTTTTTTTTATAACAAAATCAATATCTTATCTAATAACTGCTGGACATTTTTAAGCTGCTATGTTTTTTTTAGCAACTTACTGTAAAGTGTAAAGTTGGCATAATGGACTGCTCTGGTTGTATTTTCAACCAAGAAGGTAAATGAACATGTTTGTTACATTTAACCTTTATTCAACATGTTGCTTTATAGGCAGCAGCTTTAAAATACACCATGTATATATGCAATCTGTTATCCACTGACTCAAACTATGATCACAGGGTAGAGGTCACCAGACTTGAAATTTTGAATGCAGCAAATTGTGAAACTTTGGCCAAGCTTGTGTTTCCAGTCTCTTGCATTTGCCTGCATATGAATGGAAGTCAGTCAAACAAAAATGCTAACGTAACCACCCCAAAACCATGTTTAAACTCCAAACTAGTATTTATAAGATCATAGGAAATAGTGCCTACAATTTTTCAAAACTATTCTTATTCACTGTGGGAAAAAATGCCATTTTTACTTAAAAATCGAAGTAAAATCAAAAGTTATGGGTATCTTTTACTCATATGCAGTAATATTGTATATATGTAATTACTTTTAGATTATTTTCTTTCATGTGCATGTCACTATACCCTTATTTGAGTTTATTGTAATTTTTAGTAATATGATTATGTTTTAAAAGATTATGATTATGAAATCATGTGTCCTCAAATTGTGAGAACTTTATGGTGCAAGTTACACAAATTAGATGCTATATTATGTGGTAAAATGCAAAATGTTGTACATTGTTTTGGTCTAGACAAAATTATTATTATTTTTTTATATTATTACCTTTGATAAGGAATAGTTTTTTTTCCAAAATTAACATTTTCTGTACATTTTTTTTTTTCGACACAGTGGCGCAGTAGGTAGCGCTGTTGCCTCACAGCAAGAAGGTCACTGGTTTGAGCCTTGGCTTGGTCAGTTGGCATTTCTGTGTGGAGTTTGTATGTTCTCCCTGCGTTTGCGTGGGTTTCCTCTGGGTGCTCCGGTTTCCCCCACAAGTCCAAAGACATGCGGTACAGGTGAATTGGGTAGGCTAAATTGTCCATATGTGTATGAGTGTGTATGAATGTTTCCCAGAGATGGGTTGCAGCTGGAAGGGCATACGCTGCATAAAACATATGCTGGATAAGTTGGCAGTTCATTCCACTGTGGCGACCCCAAATTAATAAAGGGACTAAACCGAAAAGAAAATGAATGAATGGATGTTAATTTTCTCAGGACTAGATGCCTTTTTCCCTTCAGTAAAACAGATTTTTAAATGAAACCATGTTTCTTGGTAATCATAATTCAAGTCAAGAGCTGATGGCTCTTCAGGATTAAAACTTTACTTGTGTCAACACATTGACACATTAAGGGCTTAAGAAGTGAAGCATTTTGATAGCAAAAATCTGAACATTACTTACAGCATTTTACTTTTAATCCACAGCCACTCAAATGATCTTGGGTGCGCACAGATACATGATAGTAGCATGAGCTTCCTGTCACATTATGACATATATGGGCACAAATTTACATGCAAGATTTTGTTTGTTTACAACTATTTGTACAATTTTGTTGAAGACACATACAAAAAGGTGATAAATAGTATTTAAAGTTGTACTTTGGATCAAGGAAAACTTTAAGAGCAAAATAACACTTGATACTGCAGTTTAATGACATTTTAAGCAATTTCTCTCAGTTAGAATTTGGCCATTTGAATAAACAATAAATAAGCTATACTAATGTAGAGCTTCACAATTTTTATAGATTTTTCTCTTGTAAAAAACTTCAATTGAAGATTAATGGAGAACAATAGCCTGATTAGTATTACAAACTAACTTTAATAAGGGTCGCCTTTGGTGCTTCACACCTTTTTATTGATCATTTTTTGTTTCACCTATAAGGGGGCAAATTTGGAACCCCCTGTGGGGTCACGGGACAAAGAATAAAAATGAAACAAATTTTATTAAACAATTAGTATTACCATATTTTATCCATTACCCAGAGCGGTCAAAATTAGTTACATAAAAAAGCAACAACATGCAAATAAATAGCCACCAGCCTTTCCAATTCTTTTATAGAATTGCTGTGTTTACATTAGACCAGGGATGGGCAAACTTGATCCTCGAGGGCAACGGCCCTCCAGGACCGAGTTTGCCCACCCCTGCATTAGACTAACAACACAGAAATAGCGTCAGCTGCAGCAGATTGATTTTATAGCATCAGGTTAAACTTTTTGACATCTTTATAACAATCAAATACATAAAAAAATAAATACAGGCCACAACTGAACACTGAGGATGATCTCTGAGTGGCGGTCTCCAAAATTAAACCAAGAATAGTCTAGTGAGGAAAACATTGTGTCCACCAGTCTCATTAGGTGAGGTTAATATTAAATTAAACAAATGAATAAATGACTATATAAATTATTGCCTATGGTTGTTAGCCTGTTGCACTTTTTTGGTTGTCAAAATACTTGTGTTTATAGACCTGTTGATGTGTGTGCAACATTTCTATGTTTTGCTGGGAATGTGGGTGTCGTGAATCACTGGCATTGTTATTTTGGGGGTTGTGGGCTAAGTTTGGAAAACCCTGATTTAGTGGAACTGTCACTTAAAAGCACCACTGTATTGCATATATTTTTCAAATTTATCAAATTACAAAGTATTAAAAGTACACAAAATTTTTTTTTTTGCCTATTAATAAAGCTTCATATGACTTACAAGAAGGCTTATTAAATTTTCTTGCAGTCTTGTCCACTTAAGCATGACAAACATAATGTATTGTAAGTAGACATGCAGTGGTCAAAAAGTCAAAAGTCTCTCGAAAAAAAAATATTACTAGATTTTTTATTTATTTTTATTTATTTTTTACCAGTTTAAGTTGCTCAAATAAAAGCAGAAATGGGTAATGTCAGTTTTTTTTGCTGCTCACTGCTTTGCTTATGTTTTTATTGACAAATAAAAATAGTTGAATATACTGAACTGAATTTAACCACTGGTTTTAAAACCACATAAAACAACAACAACAACGCAGCTGGCTTGAGTAAAACCAATTAAAAGCAAGTAGTAAAGATACTTCAACTTCCATGTAACGACCGTCATATCAGAAGAAAAATCTGGATGTGTCTAACATTTCAGGTGGAGAGCAGCTGTTAACAGTCAATTAAACGCGATGAAAATCGTGCTCGAGAGAGAAACAGCGATAGTGTCTGTCGCGGAAACCACGTCAATGACCGCCCTCCCCCTCCAGCTTCAATTCAGTTCAGAACCACGGTCAGCTCTCTCTCCGCGCGCGCGCGCCGCTCATTGTCAGTACCGTTCGCTGCTAAATTTAAAAGACTGCCGGAGGAAACCAGAAAACATCAGCTGCCAATCGTTTCACGACCCTCCCAGTACTATCTCCCTTCAACCCGCTATGGTAAACCGAGAGTTAAACACGTAAGCAGCAACAATTTAATTCGGTGGAAGACTACTGGCTGTTGGAGCAGCTTTTTTCACTCGCAGTGAGGGTAAGTGACACTTTTGATGTCGCGTTTGGATGGAAATAAGCGCCTTCGGTACTTTTCCGAGTTACCGAGGGGCTTTTGATAGTAAACAACATTTCTCTCGTTTGATTTCAGGGAAGCGAGAACTTGCGTTGAAATGTTGGACCCGTCATCCAGCGAGGAGGAGGCGGATGAGGTTGTGGAAGAAGAGCGAAAAGTGGTGGCGGCGCCCAAGGCTGGTGGTCCTCGGGTGTCTTCAAGCCGGACCAGCGAAAGCTCTGGTGGGCTGCAGCCGAGCCGAAGCACCAATGCCCGGCCGACGAGCCCCAGTCCCTCAGTGGCGGTCGAGAAGGAAAAGGATGATTTAGAAAAGATGCAGAGGGAGGAAGAGGAGAGGAAGAAGAGGCTCCAGCTGTACGTCTTTGTGATGCGGTGTATTGCCTATCCTTTTAATGCAAAACAGCCGACCGACATGGCGAGGCGACAGCAAAAGGTAAGAGGGCAAAGTCGCATGCAACAGATTGCTGTGCAAATGAATTGAAGAATGGGTGAGCAGCAACTGCAGGCTGTGGAAAAACACAGTTTTAGCGTATTGGGGATGATTGTTTCAGCCCTAAACTAATGCAACATGAAGATGCATCAGGAAATTTATTTATTCATATTTTCCAGTGCATAAGAAATCAACATTATGCTTGATTTGTTTTTTCATAATCAAGAAGAAATTAATGTTTACCTTGCATTAGTAGCTTTCATTTGTACTTTTAGATTGTGTTAAAGATGAAAGTGGGTTTTTAGTATAGTATCAGAACAATAAAAGTGTAATATACATTTAATTTCCCCCATACTTTAGAATGTGTCCAGTTTAATTAAAAGGAAATATCAGAATCACTATCATACATTTTTACAGTGATTTATGGAAGAGAACCACTAAAATTTGCACCGAGCAAAAAACTAATTCATGGCATATTTACATGTTTATACAATATGTTGGTACCATCCTTCAAACTGTAAATAATGTAAATGTAATAAGATATTCATTCATTCATTCATTCATTCATTCATTCATTCATTCATTCTCTTTTTGGCTTAGTCCCTTTATTAATCTGGGGTTGCCATAGCAGAATGAACCGCCAACTTATCCAGCATATGTTTTACACAGCGGATGCCCTTTCAGCTGCAACCCATCTCTGGGAAATAATAAGATATTGTGTGAAATGTAATTTTTATATAAATACGTGTAACATTTTTACATTTTATTTCCAGAAAGAATTTAAAATAGTAGGCATTTTGCTTTCATCGAATATGCTTTCTGTCACTTTTGTAAAAATAAATTAATAGACACTCCAAAATGTTATTTTAGGGCAACCCCTATTCAATCAAAGTGCAAAGCTGTACCTTTACAAATAACACTCTAGTGGCTGCGTGATGTACAGTTTTTGCTTGATATTTTTTTTACACTAATTTCTTCCCCATGAAATGTCCATTTACAAGCATCTAAACATCAGAAACTAAAAATATTGATCGTTTATGACTGTGCAGGCTATAAAATAAGCAGAAATCTTTTTTTTTTTTTTTTTTTTTACAAAGAGCAATGTCAAAGTTTCCAACAGAAACATGATGCCCACCAGGTTTTTCACGGATGACACGTTTCCCAGTATTGTACATTGTCAGACTTTTTCAATCACTGTCATGTTCTTCTACTTTTTCACACATCTGCTGAGTCTACACATCTGTTAAAGGAAAAAGTAGAGGTTTAAAATATATTTCCTCTAATAATAAATAGCTTTTTTTAAGAGTTGTAGTATAGTTCATTGCTCAATTGTTCAATGGTCTTGCTACCTCCATACTGTGCCTGATGGAGTTTGTCATTAGTGTTTTTATTAGGACACTTTTTAAAATATTTAAAATATTCATAAAGTAACTTATTTTATTTTTAATACTTTACAATAAGCTTATATTAGTTAATATAAGTTAATGCATTTACTAACATGAACAAACAATGAACAATAGTGTTTGTTCATGTTAGTTAACATTATTTTATGGAAATACAGTTGTTCATTGTTAGTTCTTGTTAATTCAGTTTATTAATTAATGTTTACAAGAATGAATCTGAAAGTTAACAATGCATTAGTAAATGTTAAATTATAATTAATGAATGGTGTACAAGTATTGTTCATACATGGTGCACGTTAGTAAATGCATTAACTAATGAACCTTATTGCAAAGTGTGACCATGCATGATATCATTACATTATGATATGATGATATCATAGATGCATAAATAAATCCAAATGGTTTTGAAAGTTCAATGGCACTGACAAGGGCTTTGTGAACATAAGAAATGCTAATAAAATGGTAAATTGACAAATGACGCTTCTCAAACTTCCCACAAAAGCATTTAAATGGTTGAGAAACCTTTATTTGATGCAACATTGCTCTCTGGTGAATGTATCCCATGGGAAAATTGCAATACGACTAGGCATTCTCTCAGATCCTGTGAGGAAAAGGTACACAATTGTTGTTCAGGAATGATGAAATCCGCTTTACTAGTTGCTATTATCTCTTCACGACAGTGCAGAGTAACATACTAAAAAAAGACTAGTTCATTTAAGGCATGTTGCTTATCAAATGCAAGTCAAAACCAAGTTTCTGAAAGCTCCAAAGCTCTTTAATCCCTGTACTAACAAAGAAGCAGCCGTGTCACATTAGCAGAATGTTTGAGATCGAGACTTTGTGTTTTAGACTTTTCTCCTGGCTCAGAATCAAAGGCAGAGCTGTGGCAGAGTGAAGAGGTCTTTTATGCAGTATCTTGAATTATTTATAAGTGTTCATCAACGTAACCTTGAGTGCTTTATTCTGAAACGTTTATCATTTATAATTGTGGATATTTGAGGGCAGATGTATTATGTATTGTTTGATTTTCAGCTCCGCCTCATTTTGAGACTCACTGTGAGTTTCATTTCATTCAATCTGGGGTCAAAAACAAGTCTGTCTGTCTTATTTGGTTGTGCCCCCAGGGGCTTGTTTGCTTGCTGCTATTGTCTTTGGAGCTGGTGCCTTGGGACAATAAAAAGAGTCTCTGTGGGAAGTTATTCTCCAGCCGGTGTTGTGTCCTCACTGATAAGACTCATGTGAGACAAAACATCAGAAACCTGCAGGTTTCCTTGGATATACTGTTCAATTGTATTTTTGTTACACTGTATTTTTTATGTTATAACAGTTCTGTCGAGACGTTCTTAGCTGGATAGGCAGAATTAATGTTTTTTTATTAATCCTTAAAAAAACTCAATAAAATTATATACAGTTGAAGTCAGAATTATTAGCCCCCTTTTGATTTTGTTTTTCTTTTTTTAAATGTTTCCTAAATGATGTTTAACAGAGCAAGGAAATGTTCACAGTATGTCTGATAATATTTTTTCTTCTGGAGAAAGTCTTGCTTGTTTTATTTCGGCTAGAATAAAAGCAGTTTTTAATTTTTTAAACACCATTTTAGGGACAAAATTATTAGCCCCTTTAAGATATATTTTTTCTCGATAGTCTACAGAAAAACACATCATTATACAATAACTTGCCTAATTACCCTAACCTGCCTAGTTAACCTATTTAACCTAGTTAAGCCTTTAAATGTCACTTTAGGCTGTATAGAAGTGTCATCATGGCCAAGATAAAATAAATCAGTTATAAGAAATGAGTTATTAAAACTATTGTTTAGAAATGTGTTGAAAAAAAATAAACAAGCGGTCTAATAATTCAGGGGGGCTAATAATTCTGACTTCAACTGTATGTGTGTATATATATATTAGTGTGTATATATATATTATTTATATATATATTAGTGCTGTCAAAATTAATGCGTTAACACATGCGCTTAATTTGAAATAATTAACGCGTTAAAAAAATTAACGCAATTAACGCAGTTGCAGTTTTTTTTTTTTTTCTGTTGTGGCCACGACAGACCGGACAGTTTCCCGCTTGGTCGAAGTACTTTTTGGGCTGGGCTGATCATCTTCTTATGATCTGATCGGCCCATAAAACACTTAGCAGGCTGTCATGTTTTTCTCCCTAAGTGGTTGACGAGCTGCCACGCTCCTGTGAGCTGTCGCGCTCTGAAAGTAAGATTTTTTTTTTTTTCGGACAGAGCGGCCCATGTGACATAATCTGCAGCCCATTGGTTCTTTCCTTTATTGACATTGGGCTAACCCAATCACAAACTTCCATGTTTGGCTCTGTGTAATGTAGGTGTGTCAAAATAGTCGAGAGTCACGCCTGTTACTCACGTGCGGGAGAGCAGAAGCGGAGAGCAGGCTTTTGCCTGCACAGATCAATATATTCTTGTCTATTTTATCTAGTTACCTATCTGTCCATAAAAATATACTTTTTTTTTTTTTAATTTTAATCTGCACCACGGCCTGCGGAAACTTCCTCCTATGCTGTTTTCTCAACCTGCAAGTCTTTATTTTACAAATTATAAAGAATGTCTGCTTCTCAAGCTCTATGAGGGGTGTCAGTCATGTATTTTAAGATGCACTCGGTCAGAGGACAATTGCATGAGATACCATTACATTGTGTTTTTGATCGTCAGCATGATGTAGGCTTATAGTGACAATAATATTTATACAATATGGTTATAACGATATTTATACATGACCAAACTAGTGTGCAACTTTAGCAGGTTTTGTACTTCGGGTCCAAACAAATTGCATTTTTCAATTGTTCATGTTCATTTGATTGACAATGAAAAATCTTTTAGCTACGTTTGATGTTTAATTGTTGAGTTAAACATTTTTTTTAAGGGTCTCTGATACATTGCTTTTATTATTTATCTTTATTTTATTAATCAACAATAACTGTGTGCGTCAGCAGGCAGTTTTTTTCATGTTCATTATTTATTAGGCTCCCTCAAAACACACAGGCACCCACATTTCCATTGTGTGTTATAATTTTATTATAATAATTAAAAAAAATTAAGTTTGAAATTTGTCAACTCTCGTTATTTCCTATATACAGTATGGCTTTTGTGCATTTATAGAATGGGAATTGGTAAACATATTCAAAAAAATGCCAGCGCCGATTATTTTGTGCCGTCCAGCCCTGCAATTAGTACAATTGTTTGTATTCAATACTGTATTATTATTATTATTATTATTTTCCATATCTGTAATACTTGTATTTTGGCATTTTTTTGCAAGCCACTTAGAATCCAACATGGAAATCAGTGTTTTCTTTATTGGCATTGCTTGTTTTGAAATTTAAATGGCATTAACATGCCTGTGGTTTTATTTCTGTAATAAATATGGCTGTCAAGCCAGGACCTTGATGGTTTATTGTGGGTATGTTGTTTACATGAAGAAATCTGTTACAAGTTAAACAAAAATTCTAATAATGAATTATATTTTGAATTTAAATAGTATTTGTCTTGCGTTTACATTAATTTTACATTTCAAATAGCCAAAATTACAAGTTTCATTCTTTTAAATGCGATTAATCGCGATA